GTGTACTGCGTTAGGCTAACCGAGACTTGTCATTTGCACTTATATATTGTTGCTATTTTGTTAGTTTTGACTGCTTTTATTGTCCTCATTTGTAAGTTGCTTTGGATAAAAGCGTCTGCTAAATGACTAAATGTAAATGTAAATATGTGGTTTCCAGAGCCCAAGTTTCTAAAAGCCCACCAAACCGTCATCAAAGAACTAGCAGCAAATAAAGTTGACTGTGGTGTTGCCTCACGTTGATTTCATAAGATCCCAAAATTTGCACTTGAATACACCACAAAAACTACAGCCAATGGCCAACTAGTGTGGGAGGAAATAACTCTCCACAACAGCAGGTGGCAGTAGTCGGCAAAAAGGGAGATCGCAATTAAGACTATGGTAATTATGGATTCGTAATGTAACTTCTTCTGGTTCACTAATCTAAACAGCTATTCCTTTGCCTTGTCCAAATACCCACACTTGCGGTCTTGGCCACTTGAGAGCGCATGCGCATTACAGGAAGTAAGCGCGCAAGACTGTCCCAGGTCTTAAAAATGCCAAAGCACAGTGCGCTTAAAGCACACTAAATTAACACCATCTTGAATACCGCTCTGGAGCACTATTCAAGGCTTAGTGTATCCCATCATGCATCATATTTAGGAATAAATCGTGAGATTTTTGCCGAGATTTCGCGAGAGGTCACGGAATCTTTCCAATATAAGTTAAATATTAATATAATAATTAGATATTACATATAATTTGGCAAAAAAAAAAAAAAGTGTTGCACGTTTTATTGGTGCAAAGATGAGTAGCGGTGATATTTATTTTGTACAACATTTGCAACTGCTTTTCATCATTTAATTAAAAGCACCACAAATTAAATTATATCATCTGTCATAAGGACTACTGAACGGATATTTAGAAGTTGATTTTAAAATGCAAAGTATTTAAAATAAAAATAAAGCTATGTAAACACTTGCATTTTTACAAAACTATAAGTGTGTCCCATCAGGTAATGAAAAGTTCTACACACACTAGTGGTCTTCATTCTCACTTGAACACTTACGCCAAATACAGGAAATACGTCATATAAGTAGTCAAGTGGTCAAGTGCAAAGACTGCAAGTGTGGGTATTTGGACAAAGGGCTTGTCTCTCTCACCAGTGGCTCCAATGTGATTCAACATGCTCGATCAGCCAAAAAGCCACCAAGGAGGTACAAAACACACCACAAAATGTAAGCCAACAGACACTCAACAACGGTCTGACATTGTATGACAGCTGACCACCGGCTTCGTCTGTCATTGCTCATTGCCTTAAAGGGTTAGTTCACCCAAAAATGAAAATTCTGTCATGAATTACTCACCCTCATGCCATTCCAAACCCGTAAGACCTTTGTTCATCTTCGGAACACAAATTAAGATATTTTTGATGAAATCCGAGAGCTTTCTGACCCTGCATAGACAGCAACGCTGGGTTGTTCTGAAATGTTCCCAGACCCAGAAACGTAGCAAGGACATTGTTAAAATTGTCCATGTGACATCAGTGGTTCAACCATAACCGTAAGAAAACCATACCCTTTAAGGGAGCTTCTTCTTAAGGTTTAGCAGATGCTATGCTATTGCAAGTGTCTTCTGGGTGATGGCTGGGGCGTTCAGGAAAGTTGCTAAAGGCTGGAATAAACCACTCAACTTTTGCCTCTATTTGCAGTCTGGATGTGTTGACGCTAGCTGCCGAAAGTCAGGGCCAGTCTGCAATCAGATTGGGCAATCAGAGCTGACAGATTGTGTAGTGTAAAATGGACACAGACTCTGATTTTTTTAGCTTCAGACTATGATTCGGTCTAGTTGGAGGACATCAAACATTAATTTGTCATGCATCTTCTAGTAATGAGGCACACATTTCTATGTGAGTTTGTTGTGTTCAGACCTGAAAGTCTGGAAATGTGTAATCGGCATGTCAGCATGTATATAGCCTAATGCATGGTGTTTTAAAACCTGTTTGAGTAGTGTATTTCAGACGTATGGCATTGCTAAGAGGTTGCTGAAATACTGCAGGTGGTTGCCAGCGCATTATATGGTTGACAAGGTGTTTTAGCTGGATTTTTTTTTTTTTTAAGGTTCATGCATATCAGTAGGACAAACAGTGTGGGACAAGTTACACCAGATTTAATACTAAAGTTTAATACTAAAGACAGTTTAAGGATCACGTTCAAATCACTTACCTTAAATATGAGCAAAAGTAATAGTGATGCTTACCTTAGCAAACACTTTTTTAAAACACTTTTTAACACAGTTTTTTTTTTAAACAGTCACTACCTGAAGGTCTGAGGTAAGTGTATCAGTGTGTGTGTGTGTGTGTGTGTGTGTGTGTGTGTGTGTGTGTGATTCACCGTGGGCACTGCTCATTGGGGGTGACGGGCCCAGAGACGGTAAGTTCTGGAATCAGAACCGGTTCTCCAGGTTTCCTGTGGATCCTGGCTGCCTTCTCCCTCACTTGCTCTTCCAGGTCGCCCATGTCTGGTTTCTCTGGAGGTTCCGGCTTCTCTGGCTCCTCGCCCAGCTCTTCCTCACTTTCCTCATCCTCCTCTTCCTCCTCCTGCTGTCTTTTCTTTTTCTGCTTTTTCTTCAAAGCTTTCTGAAGGAATCAGAAACATGTTGAGAACATCTCAGTCTGGTTTCAAAGAGGATTATGACTGCAAAAACAGTAGTTGCATCCCATGTGTAGTAGTACCTGTTTTCTCTTCCAGGATTTCCATTCCTCATGTTGTCTTCGGTATTCACTCATTTTCCTCTGATAGTCTTCCTCTGCCTCCGCCTCCAGCTCTGACACCTCCGCTATGATGTCATTCTCAAACTCCTGCTCGTCCTGCTCTCTGTCCACCTTCTCCCTGCAGACGTCACTCGTTTAATGAAACGAAGCACAAACACAGAGTCAAACTCGTATGAAAGAAGCCGTACCTCCTGATGAAGAGTTTGAAGGGCGTGTTGGTGAATCTCTGGAAGTCTCTCAGAGCTTTGAGCTCCTTCCACACTCTAATGATGCTTTTGAGGAGAGCTCTGTCCTTCTCCTGCTCCACATCACGCAACTGACGAGTGTGTCTGATGATACAGGAAGAGACCAAGAATCAATTAAAACGTGATGAAACAACGATCATAAATATAACAGGTAGAGGTGATTGGAAATGTCTTACCTCACTTCCTGTTTGTACTCCGCTATCCTCTGCTGGGTCACCTGACTCAGAGCCTCTCCTCTGTGTAGCTCCAGCATATTCTGAATCGTGTTCCTCAAGCTGTTCAACTACACACACACACATTCAGAATGAGTCTGAAGAACAGGAGGTTGAGAACAGGAAGCTTGGTTTTGTTGGCACACTTCTGGGTTACCTTATCAGTCAGGAGTCGTGTGAGGTTCTTGTGCTGTCTGGTCAGGTGCTGATCGTACAGCTGGGCGAGACGGGCTGCCAGCACGTGTTCACGGCTGAAGAGAGGATGATGGGAGAAGATGAGGCCGGATGCATCTACATCCAGCTGGTAGTCTGCCTGGGGGTCGCCCATTCCAGTTATGTAGAGGTTCACATGCTTGGTCTTCAGAGCCTGGGACAGAGCAGACAATAGTGGAAACACCATGTCATTATGCAAACATTCAGTTATTATGCATTATACATTTTCAGAAATAGCGTATAAAATAACACTTCAAAGGTAGATTTTTTGTTATTTTTTCAACAAAGGATCAGTGAATAAAGGAATCTTTTAGGACAAACTTTCAGGAAATTACATTTATTTTAATTGCTATTTATCACACAACTGTTAAAATAACTGAATGGCATCTATGCTAATAATCATCTTTTTCACATCACTTCCTAGCCCCTTAATACTTATCCTGAAGGTACTATAGTCTACTAAATGAAAATACAAAATGCAGTTTTTAAATAATGATTTCATTTATTAAGGGAAAAAAGCTGTCCAAACCTGCCTGGCCCTATGTGAAAAAGTAATTGCCCCCTAAATCTAATAACTGGTTGTGCCACCCTTTGCAGCAACAACTGCAATCAAGCGTTTGCGATAACTGGCAATGAGCCATTCACATCGCTGTGGAGGAATTTTGGCCCACTCTTCTTTGCAGAATTGTTTTAATTCAGTCACATTTCAGGGTTTTCGAGCATGAATGGACTTGTTTAAGGTCATGCCACAGCATCTCAAATGGATTTAAGTGCGGACTTTGACTTGGCCACTCCAAAAACCTTAATTTTGTTTTTCTTGAGCCATTCAGAGGTGGAATTGCTGAAGTGTTTGGGATCATTGTCCTGCTGCATAACCCAAGTGCGCTTGAGGTCACAAACTGACGGCCGGACATTCTCCTTCAGGATTTTCTGATAGAGAGCAGAATTCATGGTTCCATCAATTATGGCAAGTTGTCCAGGTCCTGAAGCTGCAAAGCAGCCCCAGACCATCACACTACCACCACCATGTTTGACTGTTGCTATGATGTTCTTTTTATGAAATGCTGTGTTGGTTTTACGCCAGATGTAACGGGACACACACCTTCCAAAAAGTTAAAGTTTTGTCTCATCAGTCCACAGAATATTTGTTTGTTTGTATTGTAACTCATGCTGACCAAAGTGCTTTCCAATAAAACAACATATAAAAACAAAATAACCAAAACTAAAATAGCAGGAACATAAAAACAACATGACATAAACAATAAACACTAGACCATCATATATACACCAACTAGCTCACACCAAATGCCCGGGTAAGTAAGTGACCTCTTAAAATGGTTTTAAAATGACCTAGTGATGTACAACATCTAATTTCCAGAGGCAGGTCATTCCAGAGGCGAGGTGCCGCAACCGAAAAGGCACGGTCTCCTTTGGACTTTAAGCGGGATTTAGAGACCTTTAACAAGAATTTTTGAGATGACCTCAATGGCCGTGTCGTAGAATAAAACTGGATCATGTCCGAAATATATTCAGGTGCTAGACCATGCAAGGCTTTAAAAACATACAGTAAAATTTAAAATTGAACTCTAAATCTAATATTTTTGATAAAAAAGGGAGCTTAGAAATGGGGCGATAGCTATTTAAAACTAAAGGATCCAGTCTAGGCTTTTTCAAAAGAGGTTGTATTATAGCATGTTTTAGGTAAGATGGAACTATACCATTTACTAGGCTACTTTTAATAATACTAACAATGTTTGGGACTACAACATCTAAAACTTGAAGAAGAAGATGAAAGGGAATTACATCTGATGCACAATTTGTAGGTTTTAAATGCTGGATTTACTAAATTAGAAAATGAAATTGGCTCAAAGTCCGAGAAGAATACAGATCCCAAAGAAGAGTCAAAATAATAATCAGAGGTAGGCTGAATGCTAGCTCTAATTATCTTGATCTTACTGGTAAAAAATTGTAAGAAATTATCACAGGTTTCTTAGTAGGATCTGGGTAAATGCGTGTTAATGGATTTAATACAGAATTTATTGTACTAAATAAAACTTTTGGATTATGAGAATAAGTATTAATTAAATCAGAAAAATACTGCGCTTTAGCTGCCTTAACTTCACGTTGATAATTAATCATACGGTCTTTAAGTATCTCATAAGATACTTGAAGTTTATCTTTTTTCCATTGCCTCTCGGCTCTCCTCCATTCTCGTCTAATGACACGAGTACTTTGGTTAAGCCATGGCTGTTGTCTGGTTTTAGGTAATACCATTTTTGCAGGTGCACACCAATTTAAAATGTTGTGTTAAACCACAAAATCAATTCTTCAGAACATATATTACCAAAATGAGATATAGTTGACCTAGAGGTCTCAGCAATATTATATGCCTCTACAAACTGACTGCAGTGAAGGGATTGATGGCCCTCAACCATTTTCCTACAGGCTTACAGCTCTGCAGATTGCCTGACAAAGAAGCATTAAAAGAAGCATTAAAAATGACAGGTTTGTGATCCCATAAAGGGGTGTCAGCAATTTCCACGTTATGTATAGGAAAACCAAAAGATAAAATCAAGTCCAATGTATGTCCATGAGCATGAGTGGGCTCCAAAACAGACTGCATAAGACTAAATGAGTCCACAAGATCTAAAAATTCTTTAACCAAAGGTTTTTTCAGGGCAACAGACGTGAATATTAAAATCACCCAATATTAAAAGACTGTCAGTACTAGAAATCACAGTTGACAAAAAGTCTGAAAACGCATTTATAAAAACCTTATTGTATTGAGGTGGTCTGTAAATAAGTGCACAGAGGACTGGATTTACCAGATCAATCTTAAACACCTGTACCTCGAAACTACTATAACAACCAACTGAACACATTCGACATTTGAAACACTTTTTAAAAACCGTAGCTACCCCTTCACGCCTGCCCTTTTCCCTGAGAGTACTCAAAAAGTTAAACGATGCAGGAGCCGTCTTAAAAAGAGGATCGATTTCATCCACATTTAGCCATGTTTCAGTCACGAATAAAAAGTCCAACCCGCGAGATAGAATAAAGTCATTAATTAAGAAAGTCTTATTAGCAATAGACCTTGCATTCATCAGTGCCATCGTTAAGATGTTATCGGAGCACTTTTGTAAAGAACGGAGACATAGATGAGGGGTCGAAGTTTACCCCTCTCCGCCTCGAGCCATGTTTCGAACGCAGATGTACTGGCTTCACTCTCCGTGAGATAGGAGAGACACAGTCTGAACAAGAGTACCTTGGAGAAGTAGGGCCAGGTGATGATAAACGTCTCACGAAGCATCCGGGGCCGCAGCACTCTCCCTCCAAAGAACCACAATCCGTGCACAGCAACCCCAGCTCAGGTACACAAGGTCGTCCGTAATAGCTTTCCAAATGAAAGCCCAAAGATGTTATGCAATTAGCGGGTTCCTTCAGACCAACGCATAGCCTTTTCAGATGAACTTGATGGCCGCCTCGCCACCCCCGTTTTCTGTAGTGTCTCTTTCTTTTATGAATATCACAGTCCGGCATGCAGCATAGTTTCATGGGTATTCATGGGAATGGTTTGTATCCTTCATCATTCCCTCTGCGCGGACACGTACCATATTCTCCGATGCCCAATAGGAAATCACGGTCATAAACATATGATGATGCTGTTGTTGTAACAAACGAGCACATAAACGAGGTTACCAAACACACATACAACTTGGCGACTGAACAACGGCGACGGCTTGCCATGCACACAGGCGCCATCATGCCTTGGGGATAATCAAGATATTTTTTGGCAAATGTGAGACGAGCCTTTGTGTTCTTTTTGGTCAGCAATGGCTTTTGCCTTGGAACTCTCCCATGGATGCCGTTTTTGCCCAGTCTCTTTCTTATTGTTGAATCATGAACACTGACCTTAATTGAGGCAAGTGAGGCCTGCAGTTCTTTAGATGTTGTTCTGGGCTCTTTTATGACCTCCTGGATGAGTCGTCGTTGCGCTCTTGGAGTAATTTTGGTAGGCTGGCCACTCCTGGGAAGGTTCACCACTGTTCCAAGCTTTCTCCATTTGTGGATAATGGCTCTGATCGTGGTTCGTTGGAGTCCCAAAGCCTTAGAAATGGCTTCATAACCCTTTCCAGACTGATACATGTCAACTATTTTGTTTCTCATCTGTTCTTGAATTTCTTTAGATCGCGGCATGATGTGTTGCTCTTTAAGCATGCTTCACTTTGTCAGACAGGTTCTATTTAAGTGATTTCTTGATTCAACAGGTCTGGCAGTAATCAGGCCTGGCTGTGGCTAGTGAAATTTAACTCAGCATTCTAAAATAATGTGGTTAATCACAGTTCTTTCATGATTTAACAGTTAATTTTTCACGTAGGGCCAGGTAGGTTTGGACAGCTTTTTTCCCTCAATACATGAAATCATCATTTAAAAACTGCATTTTGCATTTACTTGCATTACCACTGATGTCACACGGACTACTTTGTCGATCATCTTGGTACTTTTCTGGACCTTGAACGTGGTAGTTCCCTTGCTGTCTATGGGAGGGTCAGAGAGCCCTCAGATTTCATCAAAAATATCTTAAATTGGGCTCCGAAGATGAACGAAGGTTTTACGGGTTTGGAACAACACGAGGGTGAGTAATTAATGACAAAATGTTCAATTTTGGGTGAACTAACCCTTTAAATCTGGTTGTTTTCACATGAAAATGCTTTCAACCTAAGTCACAGGTGAGACTAACCCCTCCGCCAACTCCCCACACAGCCACGGCCTCTATACACTTTGTATCCATCCCAGTATAACACTCCACCTCAAGCGGCTCGGTCACGCTCGGAGGGCAACGGTACAGCACGAGATGATGCATGACGTCAATGTTTGTGATCACCGGCTCAATCTGGACATAAAGTAAGTCAGAGATGAAGATGATTGACAGATCGCTGGATAGATCATGTGTGTTAAGTTCATAGACTCACTTACGCGATAAATGTGCTGTTTGCGATCAAATGTTGGGGCTTTCATGATCTTGCAGTGATAGTAGGTATGGTTGGCTGGTACAGTGAACTGAAATGATTTGTAAATGTAAGCAACATGTAAAGTTACACTCATTAGCACTTTAAAGAGATTAACCAATAATATAATCTATGCAAACTATGGGGTAAACTATATTATGGGCTCAGTAAAAGTTTTTTTGTTTTTGTTTTTTTAATATAAAAAGTAAATCAATAAAAAGAAATGTATATTTTTCAACAAGGACACATTAAATTGACCAAAAGTGACAGAAAAGACATTTAAAATGTTACAGAATATTTTTCTATTTTAAATGCTGCTCTTTTGAGTTTTCTATTCTTCAACAAATTCTGAATAAAGATGTTACTGTTTTCACAGAAATATTTAGCTGCTGTTTTAAATGTTGCTCTTGAAATGCCAGCAACAGAAAACTGGGTTTACACACAGAACAGCAAAATGACAAAGTAAAATCTTTCTTACATTGACCATAGTTATGTCAAAAAAGTTGCTGTTTGGAAGGTTGACCCGAGGCATGTACTTCAACAGGTTCAGCTGCTTTGTGCCTCTTCGGGTGCTGTGGTACATGATTTCATCGGTCTGTCCGTACGCATAGATCAGCTTCATGGGGAGATTCTGATGATGCAATAAAAACACTTTTACTTGATGTCTTTACTTGAAATGAGAAGCTCTTTGGCCGCATGCACACTGCAGTTAAATATTGTCACTCATAAAAGTTTGCTGTGTGTATGTGGCTCATCTGGCCATCGATAACTCATTTTAGCTATTTTTGATTTATTTTGAAGGTTTTTTAAGTCGGTCAGTCAGACAGTCCATGTTTTCAGTTTAAGGAGGGTTTTGAAGTGCAGTTGAGAGCTCCTTGACAAACTCAGATTTCATCAAAAATATCTTAAATTGGGCTCCGAAGATGAACGAAGGTTTTACGGGTTTGGAACAACACGAGGGTGAGTAATTAATGACAGAATTTTCATTTTTGAGTGAACTAACCCTTTAATGTCAATTAGTTCCACATGTCTGTGAGCACTTTCATAATGTTCACTTTTATTGGCATGCAGCATTCATAACACAAGTACCTCCAAGTTTTATAAATCACACAAGGCTGAATGGGTGTGTTATTGTTCTATTATATGTGTGTGTGTGTGTGTATTATAACGTCTATTATATATCTCCTATTTTGAGTTGTGTGAGGCGTGACAGACGCATGTGACCTCACTGCCCTGTCTCACAGCAGAACCCGTGACATCATCACACATCTGGATCCCATCTCCGTTCTCACACCTCTCATCTCCACAAATATTATTGGCAGTTCATATTGCCTGGAAACAGGCTGCATGGAGGATATGACACCAAAAAGCGCTAGTAAACATTACAGGATTGCATTTTAGCATTCAACGTCATAAAGAACCGGCCTGATGTATTTTAGATGTATTTTCACGAAGATTTTCAAAAATCATAGAGATTTCACCCTCTAAGAGCAATTTCTAATTCTCGAAATGTTTTAGAGCTGAGCAGAATTAAAAAAAAACAAAAACAAAAAAATATATATTATTCACTATAGAATTTCCATAACTTGCTGAGATTTTATGGTGTTTTCCCGACCTACAAGATATTTCCAGGTCTTCCATGACCCTGGGGTCCTTGGAATTATTAAAGGGATAGTTCACCCAAAAATTTTAATTCTGTCATTAATTACTCACCCTCATGTCGTTCCAAACCCGTAAGACCTTCGTTCATCTTCGGAACACAAATTAAGATATTTTTGATGCATCCCGTCAGCTCTCTGACCCTCACATAGACAGCAAGGATCCTTACACGGTCAAGGTCCAGAAACGTAGCAAGGAGATCGGTAAAATAGTCCATGTGACATCAGGGGTTCAACCGTAATTTTACGAAGCTACGAGAATACTTTTTGTGCGCAAAAGCAAAAAAACGAACGACTTTATTCAACAATTTGTCTCCTCCGTGTCACCCTGTAGCGCTATTTTGGAGAGTATCCACTGAACGTAAACAGCGTTTGCTGTTCTGTGTCAGCTGTGGCACGCGGATACATTGTTTACGTTCAGATCAAAGTGCAAACAACGTAGAAAACGTATCCACGTGCCACAGCTGACACAGAACAGCATACGCTGTTTACGTTCAGTGGATAGTCTCCAAAATGATGCCAGGGTGACGCGGAGGAGACAAATTGTTGAATAAATTCGCAATTTTTTTTTCTTTTGCGCACAAAAAGTATTCTCGTAGCTTCGTAATATTACGGTTGAACCCCTGATGTCACATGGACTATTTTAACGATGTCCTTGCTACGTTTCTGGACCTTGATCGTGTTAGGATCCTTACTGTTTATGGGAGGGTCAGAGAGCTCTCAGATTTCATCAAAAATATCTTAATATGTGTTCCGAAGATGAACGAAGGTCTTACGGGTTTGGAATGACATGAGAGTAATTAATGACAGAATTTTCATTTTTGGGTGAACTATCCCTTTAAAGTCAAAAAAATGAAAACAGATTTTTTTTTGTGGGAAAGAACACATAACTGATTCTTCCTCTCCAGACCAGTGTTAGAGGTCCAGTGCCTTGGGATCACAGAAAACTGTCTTCCAAAACCAGTGCATTTAATGCGAGTCATGTTTCATCTGAATTCCACAAACCTTGCAAAACTTAATCTGGCAAAAACTAGTTGTATTTTGAAAGCACTCATTGTAGCAGCCTGGGAACTGGGATAAGGGCCACATTTACACTCTTAGCTAGGGGTGTGAGATATGTTGAGTCTACGATACTATCATACATATTTGTTTTAATGATGTTATGACATTATGAAGTATGTTCACTCACTTTGCAAAAAAACTAACAAAAACATGCTGAGAGAGAGCATGCTTTCACTGCGTGATGTAGCTATTAGAATGCAGTTCGAATGACCCCAAATTCAAGATACTGGGGGCAGAAAAAGCCCCTGTATGTGTTTTTGTTTTATATTTACATCATATGATATAGTTAAGCAACATCACAAGAACAAGAATGCTGTTTTTCCACAATATCAGCACAACTGCAAATGTGATACTGATTTTATACAGTAGTGTGTTACTGAACGAATCCACATTTTTTAAATAATCGGTTGAACAAATTATTTACTGATCCTTTCATAAAGAAGAATGACTCAAAGAGTTAGCCTGCTTTCATATTTTAAGTAACTTTTTTTTATAATTTCATATTTGAATACTGACCTTTTTGTGTAGAAAACATGAATCTCAAAGCATTATTAATGCAATTGTTATTGCATTCATGCCACCTCTGAGCTGCATTAAACAATATGTGCAATAATTCTAAACAGTATTATGTTGTATTATTCTAAATGATTCTGTTGCTTAAATGTAGCAATTAAACATAAAATGATGATGCATACTTCTAATAAAGTCAGAAAAAAGAATGTCCCCGGAAATCAATTTAAGGTGGCAATTATTGACCCTTCATGGAAAAGATCATTTCTGTCAGAATATGAAAATGTTCATTTTCATATGAAGGAGTCCAGCACATAAACACACAAAATATTGTCTAATTATCATAATGTATAATTCAATCTCTGACCTTTCTGTAGACAGCCTGCAGCGCAGGGTCCAGCTCATCCTCCAGGTGGAAGAGAGGCGGTCTGGACGAGGACTCATTGATTGGGTCAGGCAGAGCAATAATACACCCATCATCTCCAAACCACTTCCTTCCCTGCAGAAATCACAAACACTCACATTACAGACAATAACATTTGTAAACAAATTAGTTTTTTACAGTATCATTTTTATAAGAAGTTTCTTTAATTACCTCAGCCTGCTTCAGGATTCGGTTTTCCAAAATGTTCTGATTGGTCAGACAGACGGGTGGCCTCTCCCCCACATATAACCCTTCCTCCTCCAGGTAACGGGGACGCACGTTCTCTGGCAGCTTACTGGAGGCAGGAACTGTGTGGCAAATGTAAATCACAGATTATTTGACCTATAGGAGGGTTAAGGTGAAGGACTGAAGAGTGCTGCTTCGATTTCTGTACCTGGCCTCATGCTGGGAACAAACAGTGTCTCTCGCTCCCTCTGCAGTCGCCTGCTGTAGCCTATATATTCCGCTCTCTTCACTTCCAGGAAGTCCTGTGCTGATTGGTCAATGATGAACAAATCCTCATCGTCTCTGACCAGAGGAGCATCTTCATCCTAAACAGTGAACGCATTACATCATGAATGAATGACAACCAGTAACAAAAATACAGACACTTTACAATAAGCTCAGATTAGTTCATGTTAACTAATGCATTATTTTATTACTAAAAATGAGCAATACAGTTATTACAGTATTTATTAATCTTTGCAAACTTCAGTTGATAAAAACACAACTAGATCAAACGTTATATTAGTAAATGACAAAATTAACAATATCAAGGATTTAAAGGGATAGTTCACCCAAGAATGACAATTTGATGTGTATCTGCTTACCCCCAGGGCATCCAAGATGTAGGTGACTTTGTTTCTTCAGTAGAACACATTTGATGATTTTTAACTCCAACCGTTGCAGTCAGTCGTATAATGCATGGCAATGGTAACAAAATCTATGAGAGTAAAAAAAACATGCACAGACAAATCCAAATTAAACCCTGCGGCTCGTGACGATACATTGATGTGTAAA